TAAACTCTGACTGCTAATAAAGAAGAATAACTTTTGACTGCTTCCAAAATGATTTTGAAGAGGCTTATAAGATCAAAAAATTGTAAGTGTAAATTTATTAAAAATTAAATTATAAAAACTACAATGATAAACTATATTCCTATATGTATTGTTAAAACTGGAAATTAAATTTATATTTGAGCTGCCTAGAAACTAGTATAAAAAAGGAAATATTTTAATTATTTAAAAAACAAAGGTAGGGGCCCTCCCTGGTGGCGCAGCGGGTTAAAGCACAGCACTGAGAATCTGAGGCTACTTCCGCATGAGTTCGATTCCCGCCTGCCTCCTGCCCCGGAGGAGACCACATGGCGAGCCAGACCTCTCCTGGCCCGCCCGCCCGCTGCTCCCCTCAGCAGTGTACTTCTTCGATCTGCCTGTTCTGCTCCCCACTCTGTCTCTGGTGAAGCCTCTCACCGCCCCTGAGCCTCTGGCCTGTACCCCAGTTCTGTATGAATAAATAAATAAATCTTTAAAAAAAAAAAAAACAAAAAAAAAAAAAACAAAGGTAAACAATTATTTGGGGTGGTGAAAAGCTTTTTCTGTACTGTATTTGACTTAACTGATTTTAATTAAGATCACTTAAGATATCATGGTAGATAGTCTCTCAAGACATTGAGTTATACAAAAAACCCAAACAACTGAAATTGGGAGATTCTGAGAAAAATAAAATTTTTTTTCTTGGTTCTTGATTTTTGTCAACATGAAAACAACATTAAATAATCACAGCACACACCCAGGCATCCAGATAATAACTAAAGTAATACTTATTCTAATGAGCTACTTCACTCATGGCTGCCTTAATTTTCAAAGGTAACTAATTTTGCAATGTTGTACAAGGTGCCAGGATCATTTTACTCCAGATTCTTCATAAAATTAAAAGAGTAAAAGAGAGAATGATGGCACTGGAAGCAAAATAGAAAGCCTTTGCCTATCTCAAAACCAAAGCTTTCAAGACTAAGAAAGCAGTGTTGAAAACATCTGCAGCCCTAAGGAAAAGAAGATCCACAGGTTACCACTTTCTGACTACCCAACACACTGCAGTTCTTAAAGCAACCCAAATATCCTCAGAAGACCACTCCAGGAGAAGCAAGTTTGACCATTATGCCATCAGCAGGTTCCCCTGACCATCAAGTCAGTCATGAAGACAGAAGACAACACTGTGTATGTGAAGATCAATGAGTACCAGATCAAACAGGCTCTGTAACCCTGATGTGGCCAAGGTAACACTCTCATCAGATTTGATAGAGAGGAGAAGGCGTATGTCTGACTGGCTTTTGAATAGAAAGCTTTAGATGTTGCCAGCAAAACTGCAATCATCTCAACTAGTGCAGTTGGCTAATTCTAAATATAATTTTTTCACTATAAAAAAATAAAAGAGTATGTTTGCTTCTGTCTACATATCCTTGCTGCCTCCCACGGACCCACGGGTATTCATAAGCAATGCTGAGGGCTATCCTTTACTTTGCTCTCTGTGCCCTACACTGCAGCCTCTAAGATAGATTCCAAAGTTGATAGTATTCAGCATCCTAAGGGCTTGTGATATAATTAATCATAATTAACCATTACTTTACCTAGAAATGCTGTTTCCCTCTCAAACAAATTCTCACTTTCCATAAAGATATATTAATATGTTGAGGTAATTCTACCCTCTAAAATATCTTACTGCTGATAGTACCATAATTCTTCTGCTCTCAAATTAAAAATCTTTTAAGTATCTTTGGTTTCTCCTTTTTTTGCATTGCTTATATTTTACTTCCCAAATCCTGACGTTTACCTTTTGAAGTCTTTTCATCCTCTCCCCCGCTAGCCTTCCTCTCCTTCCCATTGCAATAGCCTCACACCTGATCTGAGTACCTATGCACACACATGCTCTACATACACCAAAGTAAACTTAGGTCTTGTTCTTATTCTCTCAGAGCAATGTTCAAAAGCTTCTGTAATTTACCAATATCCTTATGAAAAATGTCTAAACTCAGGATATGTTTTAGTACTCAGAAATACCTTGCCCCAGTTTACCTGTGCAGTCTTATCACCCTATACCTGGTCACTGTCTGTACACTGACATCACTACTTTCTAAATTCCCCTGCTCAGGTCTACCTCCATACTTACAGTGATACCCCACCTGACTGTACTTTTTCTTTATTCTTTTTTTTTTTAAATGCATATAAGAACCGGGCTATAGGCTAGAGGTATAGGGGTAAGAGGATTCACCACAGACACAGTGGGGAACAGAATAGGTGGACGGACTGAAATACACTGCTGAGGGAAGCAGTGAGTGGGCCAGAAGAGGTCTGGATCAGCTCCCTAGCTGGGGGTCAAACCCAGGCCACAGAGGTGATAGTGCTGAGACTTAACTCCTTGCACCACCAGGGAGGCCCCTTGTTCTTGATTCTAATGTAATCCAAGCTTCAGCTGAAAATTTGACTTACTTTAATTTTACCTCCTTTTTGAATATCTCTAAGCCCAGTCCATAATGATGTCTCCCTTTATTCAGGAAACATTTTAAAAGTCCATTATAGACAAGCACTACATGGATACATTAGCAGAACTATTTTGACTTCCTATCAGCACTATTACTAAGCACTGAAATGTGCCTGACACAGTGTTAAATATTTTATACCTAGTTTGAGTTTTTAAAAAAATCATTAGTGTTCTACAGTATTGTTTTACGGATGGGGAAAATGAGGCTCAGAGAGGTTAGACATTTCTGGGATCAGAAATAACAGATAATTGGGCTACCACCTTTGTTTATGCAAGTAGTAAAATATAGCACAATTTGTATAGCTATTCATAAACTGTTAAGAAGAAATTGAAGATAATCTGATTCCAAAGACTGTACATTCAAATTATATTATACTGCCTCCTCATGGAGCCAGCTGGCAAGGAAATTACAATCTGAATTTCAGTTGTAATCACAAACTGATTTCAAAGCCACAAAGTGAAATGCACTATTAGTAAGACAAAAAACTAGTAATTAGGATACATGAAAAAGGGGCCTCTCTAGTGCTGCAGGGATTAAAGACATAGCACTATCAAGCTATCACCAGCCACTGCAACATGAGTTTGAACCCCAGCCAGGGAGCTGACCCACATGGCGCACCAGACCTCTCGTGTCTCACCCACTGCTCTCCTAGCATTGTATTCAATACATCTGCCTGTTCTGCTCTCCACTCGGTCTTTGGGGAATCCTTTGATTTCCACCCTACCCCCGCACCTCTGGCCTACACCCCAATTCTTGTATGCACAAATAAATCTTTTTTTTAAAAAATAAGATATATGAAGAAGCCTGGAATATACAGATGTTATACCCATGTCTCTGACTAATAAATCTATTTTGAGAGCTTTATTGTCAGTTCCTGAAAGTACAGCTTCCCAGAAAGTACAGCTAAAGTTGCGAACAAAATATCTCCATAAAAACAGCTGAGCTAATATCAAGTTAAAGAGCTTCTGTACAGCAAAAGAGACATTACTAAAAACAAACAGAAAGATCACTAATTGGGAAAACATTTTCTCACACAAAAGT